ATTTTCTAAAGTTTCTCACTTTCAGACATGCCTTACAGTCCCTACACGACTCGAAATAAACCAATGTCTCGGAGTATGTTACTGTAACTCCAACAGTACTGAAACATGCTGTGCAGACTGAGAGAACCGACGAGCAGCTGACATATACTGAGCATGCGTGTACTAGCGATCCTGTGCTGATATTAATATGAGCGCGAGTGAAACGAGGACATGAATGAGGGGGTGAATTTGACGAAATTAAGTTTATTTAATAATAGATCAAATTTACTGGAAAATGCAAATGCAACTAGTTATATTAAACAACATTTTAACATGACGAACATGCAACAACTGTGCAGTCAAAACATGTAAATTAATTTTAATATTTACTATTGTGTTTAAGCTTTATGAGCTGGTTTTCTGTACGGTTGCGGTTCTGTTACCAAGCTAGTTCGACGTTTGACATTTGTCAGATTCAGCCTCGGAAATATTCAACAGTTCTTTAAAGATTTAATACAAGGACAAGAAACATAACGTGTTATAATGGTTTTCAAATGTAAAAGAGAACACACAATGTGTTCCATCTCAACTTCAAAGGGTGTGTCTTACTGGTTCATAGACGAACATTTAAATGTCACAGCACATGATATTGGAATGTCAACGAATACATAAATCAATGTAAAGTACATACGCTCTTATTTGTATTAATCTGCCTTAAGGTATTGTAACTGATAGACCTTATAATGTAAAAGTGCAGGGTAGGGACCGTGTGCAAAGTGCAAAAAGCACAATTATTCCATCTAAATGCTTCACTTGTGAAATGTATAAAAAATAAATCTCAGATCTAAGGGGTGTGTCTTATATTACTGGTTCATAAAAGAACATTTCGATGTTGGTTTTATTCACAGAACTATAGCAAAACAAAAGCTATTGAAATGGAACAATTGAGAAAAAGCTTGCAAAGCATTAAAAGATTGTGCCGTTTATCACCCCCTAGAGGAAGATATTGCACTTGTCTTGACCAAGTTTTAATAAATTAATTTAGAATGCACACAGTTTGATATGTAAACTTAAAAGGGTGTGTCTTGTTACTTGTTTAAAGAACGATATTTACAGCCATCTTTTACTATCATATGCAAATCAGGATGCACGCTATTGGATTAAAGTTGAATCTGTTAACACATTCATTTTTACAACATACACAAAACTATAACACAGCACATGATATTGAAATGTCAATGAATACATCAATGTAAAGTAAATACACTCTTCTATCTCAGCTTCAAAGGGTGTGTCTTGTTGTTCCTAAACAAACATGTAGATGTTGTTTTTTGTATTAGACAACACATAATATTAAAATGTAAACAAATACATCAATTAATTTCCTATAAATGTACTCTTCCATCTCAATTTCTAAGGGTGTGTCTTGATACTTGTTCCTAAAAGAACATTTCAAAGTTGATATTCACATAACTATAAGACAAATAAACTTACTGAAATGTAAAAATTGAGAAAAAGCTTATTAAGATGTGCAGTACACCGCCCCTTATAGGAACACATTGCCGTTGTTTTGACTGAGATTAAAGGGGTCATATGATGCGATTTCCATTTTCCTCTCTCTTTGGAGTGTTACAAGCTCTTAGTGCATAAAGAAGATCTGTAAAGTTGCAAAGACTAAAGTCTCAAATCCAAAGAGATATTCTTTATAAAAGTTAAGAGTCAACCACGCCTACCTAAAACGGCTCGTTCTAACACGCCTCCACATGTCTACGTCACGATGTGGGAAGATTTCCATAACACCGCCCAAATGTTCACGCAAAGAAAGAAGGCGTAACTTTTATTCTCACTGTAGTATTGGTGTTTTGCTGCCGCCGCCGCCATGTCGTGAAGGCGCTGTGTTTCGTTGTGAAAGCGAAACTACTTTGTTTTGAACACATACTATAGAAAATGAAACCAATACATAATTTAGTTTAAAATAAATACAATCTTCTAGATTTACATATGAGAGTAAAGCCTGAATTTAAATGTTTATTTAGGAATCAGAAACAAGACGCACACTTTGAAGTTGAAATAGAAGACTGTATTGATTTTAAATTAATTTATTAAAGGTTTGAATGTCAAACTCGGTCAAAACAACTGCAGCATCTTCCTCTAGGGGGCAGTAATACTGGAAACTCTTAGGAAGGTTTCGCAAGTGATTTTTGAATGTCAATAGCCTGACTTCTGCATCTCTTTTGACAATGAAAACAACTGGAAAATGTTATTTAAGAAATCTGTAACAAGACACAGCCTTTGAAGCTGAGGTAGAAGATTGTATTTATTTTAAACTAAATTATGTATTTGTTTCATTTTCTATAGTATGTGTTCAATTATAGTTCTGTGGCTAAAACCACCATGAAAATGTTTATCTAATCTGTAACAAGACACACCCATTGAAGTTGTGTAATAAAACTGTGTTATAAATTAATTTATAAAAAAATTGATTTTCAAATTCAAGTCAAAACAACTGCAAAACAAGACTTTGCCAGCTTTATCTTAATTGTTGAATTTCAATAGCATGTTTACTGTTATATAGTTCTGTGACTAAAACAAATATAAAAATGTTCTTATAAAAACAGTAACAAGACACACCATGAGGTTGATACAGAAGAGTGTATTTATTTTAAATGAATTTATTTATTGGTTTTAATTTCAATAGTGTGTACTTTTTTGGTGTTATACTTCTGTGAAAAAAACAAACATTAAAATGTTCTCACAAGGACCTGGAATCAGCCTACTGCATAACCACTGAATTATGGAATGGTAATGATTTTTAATATTGTTTTTCCTTTATTAATACCTGTACATACATAATTATCTATATTATATATTGTGTTTTTGCTATTTACAGTATCTATTTTGTATATTTGTATATTATTATTTTTATTATCTGTGTCCTGTCTTGTCACTGTCATTCTGTTGCACTGTGGAGCTTCTGTCACTAAAACAAATTCCTCGTATGTGTAAACATACCTGGCAATAAATCTCATTCTGATTCATATATTTATTAATATTAAAAATATAATAATAACCACTATCACATATCGTTTACAATATTTCTTATTTAAATTCAAGTGAGCGTTATATAGGTGCATCTCAATAAATTAGAATGTCATGGAAAAGTTCATTTATTTCAGTAATTCAACTCAAATTGTGAAACTTGTGTATTAAATAAATGCAATGCACACAGACTGAAGTAGTTTAAGTCTTTGGTTCTTTTAATTGTGATGATGTTGGCTCACATTTAACAAAAACCCACCAATTCACTATCTCAACAAATTAGAATACTTCATAAGATCAACAAAAAAAAACATTTTTAGTGAATTGTTGGCCTTCTGGAAAGTATGTTTATTTACTGTACATGTACTCAATACTTGGTAGGTAAGTCATTTTGCTTTAATTACTGCCTCAATTAGGCGTGGCATGGAGGTGATCAGTTTGTGGCACTGCTGAGGTGGTATGGAAGCCCAGGTTTCTTTGACAGTGGCCTTCAGCTCATCTGCATTTGTTGGTCTCATGTTTCTCGTTTTCCTCTTGACAATACCCCATAGATTCTCTATGGGGTTCAGGTCTGGTGAGTTTGCTGGCCAGTCAAGCACACCAACACCATGGTCATTTAACCAACTTTTGATGCTTTTGGCAGTGTGGGCAGGTGCCAAATCCTGCTGGAAAATGAAATCAGCATATTCAAAAAGCTGGTCAGCAGAAGGAAGCATGAAGTGCTCCAAAATGTCTTTTTCACAATTTGAGTTGAATTACTGAAATAAATGAACTTTTCCACGACATTCTAATTTATTGAGATGCACCTGTAAGTGTTTGTCTTTACATCTTTCAAAAACCTTGGGCACAAATTGCTCTTGTTTTGTTAATTGTAAAACACATTCTGGTGGGAAAACATTAATCGTTTTATCCTTTACATGTATTTTGTAGATGGTCCCTATCTGGCCTAAGCGCTAGCTCGCTGCTGCTAGAGACTTTATGCGTTGCAACATATCGAGGAGGAATAAAACCAATAAACTGCGATGTATGTTCAGTTCTACGTTCTAATGCTTTTCAGATAAGCCATTTTTATACAATTATACCCTACTCATCCACTAAGAATTTATTGATTATTTTTCGCGGCTGAATATCTGTCTAATATCCAACGTCAAACCAACTTTATATCGGTGGTTCAGTTATGGTTTTTGTAAAAAGTTGATGAAGACTTCACTTTCTTTGTTTTCATATCTTTAAGACATCCACATTTGCACATCAGTGCCAGTATTGGGTGCTTTTACTAAACGTAAGAAACTTATCCAAGATGATGATGATTGCGATGGCTATTACCATTGATCTTAAGTTATGATAATTACTTTATTTGAATGTGTTTGAATGTATTTTAATTTGCCGGGATGATATAATTGACGTCATTGCGTGAGGACGTAAGAGAACCGGTGAACCGGTTCATTGAATCGAACTGTCCGAAAGAACCGGTTCGCGAAAAAGAACCGGACATCCCATCACTACCGCTTTAGGGTCCGAGCTACGTCTGTACCCAGTAAATGTAAATGGTTTAAATCTAAACCCAACTTTAACCAGTGGATGAATGAGGTTAAAATTTTGTGCAAATCTTTAGAATTGGTTCAAAACAAGAAAGCTCTCAAATTGATTTCGTTTTTGGGGCATGTATAAACTAATGTGAAAAGCCCCTTTTGGTTTGTTTGTTTTATTTGTTCTATTTATTTATTTTATTTTCTTCTTTATTATTGGTTTATTGTGATCTTGTTTATCACTGGTTATGCTCAACCTAAGGCTGTTCACGTGTTGTTAGATTATGTGATGTGTTTATGTACCTTGTTTGTTGTAAATGGAAGCATAACAAAAAAAATTAAAAAGCCTCTGTACCCAGTATAGCGCATGTACGTCTGCAAGATGTCTGTTAAAGATCTCTTGATCTGGAAAGCATCTGCTGTGGACAAACATCTAACAGACGTCTATCAGATGTCAGTTTTACATACATTCTAAATCATTCAGCAAATTTTGTGGTGGGCCGGTGCCACCCCTCTAGACACGCCCCTGCAGCGTGTTTACAGTGGTTTACAGTGAAGAGAAACGAAGCAGGCTGTAGTGTTAGGGCCCGGTCCTTTCGCTCGATGCGATAAAGGTATTTTGTGTTGTTGTAAGCAAATTTCTACACCCTCCATGTTCAGGACGGTTCAAGGTTTGGTCCTTAGTTTGTTTTTGGACCTTGTTTGTTCGGTCGTTCGTTCATACTAAATACCAGGTGTTTCTAGTAAGCCGCGTCATGATACAATGCAACTTATTACGGGTGACATGAATATGGTCTCAAGTAGTTTTTCTTATGTATAATGTTGTAAATATATTTATTTATATAAGTACCGGGGAATAAAACAGGTTAGGCTGATAGCTGTTTGGGATTTAAAAAACGACTTTTCCAAAACAGTTTAACCATTTCCCAGAGTACAATCTTATTTTTAAGATTATAATTTACCCAACACTTGTTATAACGTAAGTGTGTAGCTTAGTTATCCACTATGGTTTGGAAATAATTTAAAACAAAAGGAAATTTTTGGGGTTAGTGATTTTAAAAGAAAAAAGGTCTTTAAGTGGATTTTCATTTTAAAAACACCTGATATTTTGTACATCTTGTCTTGAAATGTGGGTTATGCTTAGTTAATAATGGCTTTGTTAATAATGTTTTGTTGCTTTGTTGCAGGTGGAGCTGTCTAAAGAAAACCCGTATATCCGAGACACCCACTGCACTTGTAAAGCAGGATTGGGGCACTGTAACCATTTACTGGGACTACTTTACACACTGGCTCACTACCTAAAAATGGGACATAAATCTGTACCACCAAGAACAAGTAAAACCTCTTTGCCTCAAACATGGCATGTGCCATCAAGAACATTAGGACTAAAGCCAAAGCCAATCAGCACAGTATCAGTTTCCAAAGTAAAACCAAATAGTAGTACCCATAGAGTAAAACGCACAAGTGAGGGAATTCTCCCAAATGTTTACTGCCCAGTCCCTGTCCCATTGCCCTGTGGTGAATTTGAAGAGAATCTGAGGGAAAACCTAAAAACCTCAGGCAGCAGAAGCCACATGTTTAAATCATTAACCGCCAGTAACCAACAAAAAAAACTTGTCACCACAGAGTTCGGCGACTTACCTTTAGGGTCTGTTTTATCCTACCAGTTACCCCAGCAGACTGTGTCCTTTGAAGAGCACCCTACACTGCCTCTTCCTCCACAACCATGCTCCTACGCAACTGTGTTAAACCAGAAAGAACATGATTTCTATGGAGGTCTGATAATTACACCAGAAGATTCACTACACCTGGAAAGTGGAACCAGGGACCAAAGCAGCATCACTTGGCATTGGCTACGCGCAGAGAGGATCACATCAACATCTTTTAAGCGAGTCTGTTCTAGAGTTAAAGACTTTGAAAAGTTAGCTGCTGACATGACTGCAAAACAAACCATTCAGACCAAAGCTATGAAAAGAGGCATACAACTTGAGCCTGTTGCTGCTGCAGAATATGAAAAACTCACTGGAAACCAATTGTTTTCCTGTGGCTTAATAATTAATCATCATGCCCCTCACCTAGGAGCCTCACGTGACAGGAAAGTAGTTGACCTTACAGCAGATACTGTCCATGGTCTTCTTGAGATCAAATGCCCAAACAAAGACAGCTTCAAAAACTGCTCATATTTGACAAATGCAGCAGGGAACTACACTCTAAAAAAGATCCACGAGTACTACTATCAAATTGCTGGACAAATGGGGATTAGTGGGTTTACCTGGTGTGATTTTTTTGTAAAATGTAAAAATGATTACCACCTTGAACGTATCTATTTCAACAAAGATGAATGGGAGGAGCTGAAATGTAAGCTTGATTTTTTCTTTTTCAACTGTTTCTTACCTGTTCTGTGCAACAAGAGAGTGTAAACGGAAACAAAACCTCAAATTACCTTTTGCAGTGTATTGAATTCTTAAAGGGATAGTTCATCCAAAAATGAAATTTGGTCATCACTTGCTTAACTGAGTTGTACCAAACCTGCATACATTATTTTTTGTCTGCTGAACACATTAGATACTTTGAGGAATGTGGGTAACCGAACAGTTGGCAGTAGCCACAGACTTCCCACTGTATGGAAAAATAAAACACTATGGAAGTCAACTATTAACTGTTTGGTTACCTATATGTTCACTAGGAGAAAGAAATTCATACAGGTTTGGAACAACTTTATGGTAAGCAATTTATGACCAAATTTCAAATTTGGATGAACTATTACTTTAAAAATTTAAATACATTGCATTCTGTTAAATAGTCATTCATGTGTCATGAAAAACTTTTTTCCTGTTAAAAAAATAAATAAATCTGTATTGATTTTGATTTATCATCTTTATAAAGTGTAAATATGACAAATGAAACTGGATTCCAATGAAATGCAGAAATGTTTTTTATTGTTTTAATTCTCTCAAACTTCAGACATGTCTGAAAATGTTAATATAACAAGAAACTAAAAGGTACATTTTTATATTGAAATGTCTTTTTTTGTTACATGTGGTATGTAATTTTTTTACTATTATATATATTTTATATTATATATACTACAAATATGAAAAAATATTAAAAACAAAAATTATAGTTATGTATATATGTAGCATTGCATAAATATATTGTATTATATATATAATATGAAAAAAATGTGTAATATATATAATTTTTCTAATATATTAAATAAAAAATATTGATGTATATATGCAGCATTGCATAAATATATAATTATATTATAAAAATTTATGCATTACAATAATATGGTATGTAAAAAAAACTTGGTATATTATAAAATTGTAGCATTATATTGTACAAAATAATATATATATATAATATATGTGTGTGTAACATTTTTCTTAAATATACATGTAAATCCAGTATAGAAACTATCAACATAAATATACAAATTTCACTTGAATACATGTGCACTTTCTGGGACATTTAAACATTCACTCAAAACAGTGGACCCTGAAAATTTGTGAGGATACCACACACAGTCCAGAGCTGATTTACAGAACCAGCCAATGGCCCGTTCAATGTGAATCCTTAAACGAGCAATGTTGTGTGTGTGTGCGAGTTCCTCATGGCTGAACTGTCCAACTGGGCTGAGAAAAGGTGGGATTACCACTGTGGCATGAATTTCGTCAAGTAGATCTTTGATTAAAAAGCCTTTGTCTGCCATCACAGCATCGCCCTCTTCCAGAAGATTCAAAATGCCAGATGACTTGGTGATCTCTTTATCAGAGATGCTTCCTGTGTAAAGACTGCTCACAAAAGTCATGCTCCCATCCGGGGAAATTCCAACCAGAGATTTGAGTGTAGTTGTGCCTTTGTAGTGCGAGTATGTCTCAGAGTTCAGTACCTTGGAGCTGGCAGTTTGGACTCGGACTTCAGTACAATCCAGGATGACTCTGGTTTTGGGGTAGAGAGCTTTAAAATACTCTGGCATAAGTTCATCAATTGCAGCTCTACTTGGCCATATAGGCAGACTCCCCAGCATGAAGTACAAATAATTTGCCCAGGTAACACAGATTCGACTGACTGTACTTCGTGAAATATTGAAACGCAGAGCAATGTCGTGTTCACGAAAGCCCAGTCTAATCCGGCAAAGAAACATGAAAAACTGATTAAACAGGGAATCCAACCCTCAGTGTGTGTTGGTTGGTTGCACTAATTCTTTGCACTTGAGCCCATGCTCTGTGCTGTGGGCTGTAGAGCCAAGAAAACGGCCCTTAAAGTGTCAAAATCAGGGAACCCAGTGTAAAACTGGATGAGTTTTGGATTACCCATAAAATTCTGAATGCCAAACTGATGACTTTTGAGTGCCTCATTTTCCGCAGACAGACGAGAAATTTCCTCCTGTGCAGCCACAAGCTGCTCCTCAGTAGTCATGGGCTCCACACAGTAGTCATGATCGGTGTTTGGCATCTCTGTGACATGACTAGATTGAAAGAGAGAGAGAGGGCCAGTGAGATAAGTTGAATTTACACACCTATTCTATATTCATATTTATTTCTCACTTGATGCATTTATATACACAATCATTTTCTATGATAGATTTCTACTAACCATTCTTCGTTGCTTGGTCCATCCTTTGTAGAACTGGAGAGAAAAAAAGAGAAAATTAAGACCCAGACATGTAACAATATTACATACAGTTGGTTGGACAAAATAAAATGAACACCCATTATTATAGGGGTTAATAACATTTGTGTAGGTTACAGTGGGGGGAAAACATTGTGATTATCATATTAAACTGAATTCGCCGGAACACCGCCTATTTCGATTTATGATTTACTGTCACAAAATTCAAATAATTTGCAACGGTCGCTTTGTCACGTCCGGTGTAGACAACATAATTTAGCTGTTGCGGTGTCGCGTCCAGTGTAGAACAGACTGTTGTAATAGCTCATTTTGAGACGTTCAATAGTCGATGCGTCATTATTGTTTGCATTTTGTTTGTTGCCACTTACATTTTAGTATCATATAATAACATTTTTAGCAAAAGTTTTAGTTTCAGCAAGATGATGGAATCGTGTTTAAATCATAAGCCTGAGAGAGTAACGGTTGAGGACATCAAGAAAGATCTTTCCTCCGACTTCTCCAAATTATCAAAGGTATTTATTATTATCAAATATATTTCATGTTTTAAAGTCCTCGAATGTGATTTAGGCTGTAGTATTTCATGTTTCATATTTCTGTTTTCAACAGGACTCAGTATTGCTGGGAAAAGAGCATCTGCATGTCTATCTCCGAGTTCGTCCATTTACGACTTCAGAGAGAGCAGAAGGAGCATCACAGGTGCCAGCATATTTTATACATTTATATAACGTTTTTTTTTTTTTTTTAGAAATTCTGAGTTTGGAACAACAAGAGCATGAAAAGTGAATGATGAATTTTCATTTTGGGGTGAACTATACTTTAAATGTGCGTGCCTAATGTAATTTGTTATGACTGTAATCTCTACAAACAGGAGTGCATCTCAATTGAGCCTCCAGAAACTGTGATTCTAAAGGCACATAGACCATCTCTGACAGCCAGACACAGTGAGAGATTCGGCCCACAACAGGCACAACGATTTCAGTTCTCACAGGTATGAGGACGGCCACAGTCACCTCTTGCATTGTAATTTATTGCGAACAGGCTTCAGTGATGTTATCAAGTGTGTTTCTTTGTAATATGATTGATGAATTCATGTTTTAGGTGTATGGTCCAGATACAACTCAAAGAGAGATATTTGATGGAACAACCAAAAGCCTTGTGAAGGAAGTCTTGGATGGAGGAAATTCTTTGATCTTTACGTATGGAGTTACTAATGCTGGGAAGACATTTACTTTTCTTGGTAAGAATTTTGTATGAGATGTTTGTTTTAATTATATATTGCACTTTAATTATGTATGCATTTTATATATAGCTGTCTAATAGTCCATTTTTATGTCTACTTTTATGTTGTAGGCCCTGATTCAGATTGTGGAATTCTGCCCAGGTCATTAAATGTGATCTTTAAGAGCATAGAAGGCAGAATTTATTCTCAAAATAGCATTAAGCCTCACAGATGTGTCGACTTTATGAAACTCACTGAAGAGCAGCAAGATGATGAAGCTACAGATAAGAGAAACCTTTTTCGACGATTTAAAGATGTAAATTATTTTTTATATATATTTTCATTTTTTTAACTGTAATTTTTTTTTTTTTAGCACGGAGAAGTACATTACTAATACTCACATCATAGCTGTTTCTTTGTTTATTAGATTGACCCCCGGAAAACTCTGTCTAGCATGTCCAGCTCCAGCTGTTCATTATTTGAAAGTAGGCAATGTCTTTCACGCTGCCTTTAAAATTGTTTATGAACATTCTGTTCATCAATATGAGCATAAACACTTGACAAACATTGATTTTTTTTGTTTTTTTGTTCCAGGCTCCACCTTTAGTGACACAAATAGGGACAGTGTCTGTTTGGATGACACCTCTAATGTTAAATTCTCTGTGTGGGTCTCCTTTTGTGAAATCTACAATGAAAACATCCATGATCTCCTTGATGTTGCTCCAAATGTCTCCCACAGAAGGACTGTTTTGCGGCTAGCCCAAGATGTTAAAGGCAATGCTTTTGTCAAAGGTAACCAAATAATTCACTTGTTTTCTAAGTTGAAAATACAATAATGAATCATTAAAATAATAATAATGAAATAAAGGTTTACATTGAAACATTTTATAGAAATAGTTTATTAGGGGTGTGCGATAATGACAAAAAAATGTTTTCCAATATTTGGAATTTTGTCGATAACGATAATTAGACTATATTTTGCTGAGCACGTTATTGTGCTGGTACTTTGGCAAGTTTAGGACTTCCCAAAGCTTTTGATATTCTTCGTATTCTGTGTGGTGGTTACAGGGCCTGACTTTTCGTTTTCGTTTCGTTTGGCTCTTATGGGGGGGATTTTTTTAATTTGAAGGGGAATTTAGGGTATTTTGTTAGACATATGTGACCCTGTCATTGAAATCCAGGCTAAAGTCTCAAAATCTAATTATGAGATAACAAGCATCAAAGTTTGATTTCAACCATTAATTTCACTATGATTTCAATCTTTGACATGGCCTTACTCATTCAGTATTAAATATATAAAGGTTATATTTTCACAGTTCTACATCTTTATGAAGGATGATTTTATGTAGAAAACAGTAAATCACAAAAAATGACTTTAGCTGGGTTTTCACAGGCAGGGTCACATATTTTGAAACCACAATCATGCAACCTAAATGTTTCGTCACCCAGTGTATTTGTGTTTTACAATTTATAATGTTATTGATTCATATTTATATTGTGAGGAAGATACTTAAAAATAATTTTGATTTCAAACTCTGAATTGAATTTATTTTAACTAAAAAAAGACAAGTAAACAGTCAGTAATAAAATATGAATAGATAAGTGACAAGCAATGGCACAAACAAATACAATAACAAGATACAAGTAATCTATTTAACTTTAAAATAACACTGGTTAGTCTTCAATGTATAAATAAACATTAATGACAGACAGAAGTTTTATGACCTCATGCACGGATCTAACTGTTACATAATTTTGTTTCTCAACTGTTTACATTCATTTAATAGCCAAAATACCACAATGTTTAGTATAATTCGACTGTTTACGTGAATACTCATCAAGACGGACATAATTTTTTACATAATTTTGTACGTATTTGGCCATTTACTTACAATTATTAAGTACATTTACTTAATTATGTAGTTGTGCGCTCTCAGATGCGGCCCTATGTTCACACGCTTTGGGTGTGAGCTCCCAGAAAAGGGATCTCACGGAGAGCGCACAGGTCCTGAATTGAGCACTTGAATGTTTCAAATTTTAAGATTCAAAAGCACATGCAAATGATACATTCCATCATCTTTCCTGAGCGTCTTTCACGCTGAAATATTTGCAGGAATGTCCCACATTACAAGCACAGTTTCTGCGGTAATCAGTAGAATTATGCGCAATCCCCACAATCCAAATCCGAAATTCAAGCCCTGGTGGTTAGTTTGCTGGAGTAACAGAAATGAATCAATTTAGTTTACATTTTTACCATTAAAAGGCCATTTTTCTAACCTAATTAAATGCATCATCTTTTGTGTCAAATTCTTAAATGTAAACAATAAATTCAAATAGTAAGACACTATAGGCCTGTTACCAATCAAATTAAATCAGTATCAACAAAATTTGTGTTTGCAGTGGAGAGGTACAGAATCTACATCTGAATTGGCATTTAGATGCATTTACACAGACTGTTTAATAGGGCTGGGTATTGTTCAAAAAATGTTGATACTGATACCTTGACTTCGATACCTTTTAATACTTTTATTAAAAAGGAATACTTTTTTTCAAATACCAATTTTATTAAATGTTTTAAAATAACAACAAACTGAAAAAATAAAACCAACATTTTTTTTGATGTAATGTGATTACATTACCTTAAAATAAAAAGTGATTTTATTTTTTCAGTTTGTTGACATTTTTACAGATTCAAAGAATCATCTCCTGAGCCACTGCAAATAGTCAGTGCAAATAGCTTTAATAAAGTTTAAATAGTTTTCAGTGCAAAATGAACAGTTTCAAGTCGGTATGTGAGGTTCACTGCTCTCTCGGAATTAGTTGACTTTACTAGAAATTTGCGAAGAAACCCGTTGCACTAAACCATTTAGTTTTTACACAAATTGAAACTAAACAGCTTTAGTTGAATTAAAATAGAACCTTAAGTTTATGCAGTAGACAAATCAAGTTTACATTAGTAGTTTTTACTCCAAATCATTAGTTCACATCAATTATTATTTGGAGTATTCTGTAGGTTGCATAAAATAACTATTGCAAGTTACAAATACAAATATATACAGTGGGGAAAAAAAGTATTTAGTCAGCCACCAATTGTGCAAGTTCTCCCACTTAAAAAGATGAGAGAGGCCTGTAATTTTCATCATAGGTATACCTCAACTATGCAAATAACATTAACTAATGTTTTTAAGTAATGATAAATGTTATATGTATGTAATGTCAATGTAATTAGACATAGATTTTGAGATTTATTGTATTAAACATTGTTTCAAATAAATTGGAAAAACAGATTTCAATGCACAGATGTTTTTTTATTGTTCACCAAAGAAATGGTAACACGGCAATGCATTAAACTTGTCAGCCACAAGACAAGTAAAAAGCTTTGAAACTGCTTACTAACAATTGTAACTATTTTGTAGAAGAAACATGAACACAGTATTCAACAATATATGCTATATCCCTGAATGCCTGGATATGCATTAAAAACTGGGCATGCATTAAAACGGAGGCAAGCCTCTGTAACTTTAAACTTGGCGGATGAATTGTGTGAACACACATTAACTGAGCACTAACAGCACTAATATGCAGTGACAGAACACACTTTAATGTCTTATACAGCAAAACACAAGTGGCTTCTCATGGAAGCTTCTCACATTTCCTTACCAGTTTGCAACCTGGGTTTGGCCCAACATGAGAAGTACCTGTTGGATGAACTGGAATGTGTTCTTCATAGATTTAGGGTAGTTGAGATGCAGTGTGTATGCAAGTCCATACAGAATGCACATAGCTTTTGGCAAGTCGTCAATATTGTCCATCACAACTTCTCCTTCAATTATGATCTTCAATGAGGCTGGATTGAGATGGAGAGAAGATGAGAGCATGTCACCTTCATGCTCAATTAGGAGGATTCCAATGTCATCAGTAATCGTCATTAGAGTCCTAACAACATAAGAGCACAATCATGAAATGTCTCATTACATAACCATCAATAATGTTAAGCAATTTGTTACGACTGCTGGAGTTCTGTCTTCACAATGATTATTTAAATTTTGGTAACATGGACTTTTAATGTAGGGACAGAAACTTACGATGTTCCATTAAAGGGATAGTTCACCCAAAAATGAAAATTTGATGTTTATCTGCTTACCCCCAGGGCATCCAAGATGTAGGTGACTTTGTTTCTTCAGTAGAACACAAATGAAGATTTTTAACTCCAGCTGTTGCAGTCTACCAGTCGTATAATGCATGGCAATGGTAACAAAATCTATGAGAGTAAAAAAAACATGCACATACAAATCCAAATTAAACCCTGCGGCTCGTGACGACAAATTGATGTCCTAAGACACGAAACGATCGGTTTGTGTGAGAAACTGGAAAGTCACCTCTCCCGAATGAGTTCGCGTGAGAGAATGTAATGTTTTAGTTTTAAGGCGGTTTGAACAATCCGGATAAGCGCAAGCAATACCATTTTGATTAGCCGTCGTACCTACAATGTTTGTGCACTGTGTAAACAATGAGTGACGTATACGTGCGAGAGATCACTCTGGCGCTTGCATAAACTACGCCATAGTGCGTACACACCTCAAAAAAGTCACCTACATCTTGGATGGCCTGGGGGTAAGCAGATAAACATCAAATTTTCATTTTTGGGTGAACTATCCCTTTAAAAACAGTTCACACAAAAATTAAAATCTGCTGTTAATTTACACATCCTCAGGCCATCCAAGGTGCAGCTGAGTTTTTCTTCAGTAGAACCTTAAAAGATTATTAGCTGTAACTGTGGTCTTTGGCGATTCATTTAATGCAATCAATGGTTACCATCACTTGGGAGTAAAAAAAACAAACAAACAAAAAACAGGCAAAACAAAATTAATAC